TCCATCTTCCTCGAAAACATTTAATCCTTGCAATCGCGAGTCGTTTACTCCCAGGAATGATTCCTTTTGTGTCAATTTACAGAGAAGCAGTTCGGCTGCAGCAATTTCTTTTGCATTCAACTCAGTATCTCGATGTACACGAATCCTTCGGCAATTGTTGATGAACCTCAGTATCTATGCGACTGTGCGTAAGATCTTCGAGTAGTCCGAACATTTTCTTAAATACCATGGAATATTCTTTTCTTTGGTGTTTTCTGTGGAGTTGATCAGAACAGCTTCTTCTGTAATCTCGAGGAAGGATTTCTTTGTTGAGAGATCGGAAGTCGTTCGGGCGATTTTGCGTAATTCTGTATTAACCGCCTCGTCAATTTCTTCTCTCTCCTTAGACCACTGATTGGGGGAAAGCTTTAGCCAACCAGGCCCCTCCCACCATTTCGACTCAAGGAGTCTTCTGGCGTCACATCCTCGGGAAGGTAAATCCGCAGGAATCAAAGTTCCAGGCACGTATCTTCAAGACTTGATGTCGGTAAGACCTCTGATCTCTTGGACGCAATTCCATACAAAGCCTGCCCATTGTTTCGTTCCTCTTATCCACGTGAGAACGGTAGTCAAATCGCTCCAGAAGTATTTCTCGACATCTTGATAATCCATGATTTTGGTGTAAGAGTGCATCATTCTTGTTCCAATAGAAGCGGCGAGCAGTTCAAGGCGCGGTACAGTTTTCTTTTCTTTAGGTGCAACTCTCGCTTTGGCTTCAATAAGATGTACTTTAGTTTCCACATCTGATTCTATTTGTACAAAGAGTGCTGCCACATAAGCATCCTTGCTTGCATCTACGAAAACGTGAAGCGATATTGATCTGACATCTTCTTTCTTGTCAAAAATCCATCGGAAACCTTAAAACACGCCTAGGAGATCCAACTGCTGTGTCCATTCTAAAAATTCATCTTTAGCTTCTAAATCGACTTTTGCGTCCCAATCCATTCCTTGATACCATAGGCGCTGTAACAATAACTTAGGTTTTAATAGTACGGGACATATAAATCCGAGAGGATCAAGTACTTTTTGAGCGTAAGATAGAATGACCCTTTTTGTTATTTTTTCCAAAACTAGTTGCGAGGGAAAACCCGACAACGAGAGTGTATCGCTTCCGGTGTCCCAGACAAGTCCGAGCACTATAGATCGATTATCCGGATTCATTCCAGTATATCTCCAATCCCGTAAATCAAATTTAGCTTCACCTTAAAAGAGAACAGCCTTTTTCTTGAAAAATCTCAAAACCAGCGTACGAGTCGACACTGGTGACACAGTCGTCAACGTAATAGGATTTTTCCAATTTTTCACAGATTGAGCGTTCGTATGGCAAAACATTGGAACTCAAAGTCTTCTTAATATGTAATTCTAGGGTGGCTTCCAGTAAAAATGGACTGTTTGTCACACCGAAGACGACTCGACGATGTCGGTATGTCACTATATTTCCATCGGTGTTCCACCAGAGAAATCTCAACACATCCCTATCTGAAAACGAGACACTGATCTGTAGAAAAGCCTTTGTAATATCCGCGGTAACACCTATCTTCTTTTCTCGAAACCTATGGAGTTGTGTCGAAATGAGTTCAATAAGGTTGGGACTAGCCTCTAGACTGGCCTCTAGATTGAGTGAAGGCGAATCTTAGCTGAAGCATCAAAGACCGGTCAAATTTTGGTGGTTCCTTCTGTCTTAATAACCGGTCTATGTGGAAGGTAATATCCCCTCCACGTGACCTCCTGCACGGGTACTTTCTCTATAATACCCTCGGTGAGCCAATTATTCAGAACTGTATTGTAGTTGTCAAATAGGTTCTGGTGCCGTAGTTTTTTTGTAACGTAGTTCAATCTCTTCTCAGCTAAATCTCTATTGTCGTGCAAAGTTGGATGATTTTCTTTCCAAGGCAAAAGGACTTCGTAAAGACCTTCCTGGTTGATTCTCGTCCTTTCTTGAAACTCTGATTTTAGTTTGACGTACTTCCTTTGTAACGCTTTCCAAGGAGTCGGTAATGCCTAAAGCATTCAGCTTCCATAGATCTGATACGTTAGCCTCTTGCGAGAACATAGAGATTACCATCAAAGCTTCATTGGTCTCACTGTCATCTAAATTCTTGCCCAAAATTGTCCAACCAAACTTCGTTTCGAGAGCCGTTATGCCTTGGTTGATTTGAAGAACATTACCCGTAAAAATCTTTCCAGCGACGTCTGCTCCAATCAACAATGAAATGGGTTCTTTGTCTTCACCCGTATCACTTAGATGCACATCCTTTCCTTTGAGTACATCCATCCATGGACCACGGATTACCCTGGAACATTCTGGCAAACATCCTGTTGCAAGGCGATGAAATCGCATCTGTATGTTTTGCCTATATCATTAACCTGGATGCGGCAAGTCTTATGTCTTCGAGACTTAGTCTTGGTTCCACCAAAGAGTAAGTGTATCATGGTTTGTTCTTCGCTTTATATCCAAGATCTCTTGCTACTTTTTCTAAAACGTAAGACTTATGAGACCCGGTATCGATGACAGCGCGAACATTTACAATACCCTTCGGACCACGCATCTTAACTCTCAATATAGGCAAAAATACTTTGGCACTTGACAAAACGTTAGTGAGATAGCTATTTCCTTCATTAAAAAATTGTTCAGCAGTGTTTTTCTCACTGGTTTGTTTCGGCTCGTTCTTACTTGCCAAATCTCGACACATCAAAAAGCAATGTCCTCTTCCACACCACGGGCATTTTTTCTTTGCTGCGACATCTCTTATAACTATGTCCTATTTTCAAGCATTTGAAACAACTAGTAAGACAATCCTTTGCTGTGAGATTTACAACAGATGCATCAGCATGAGTAATTAACTGCGTCATAGTTCGCTGCCATGTTCGAGAGTTTCCTCTGACAAGGAGGACTCTACCAGAGCAAACAACATGGCAGCGCACATATCCGTCGTTATACCCAATGTCTCAAGCGCTCGAATATGTGTTTCCAATTTATCGTAAATAGACGTGAGCGACACATTTTTGCTCTTGCTTAGAATCAATTTCAAGAGTTCACGAACATAGAATTTGATTAATAAGTCTTTCTTGCCGAAACGTGACTCAAGACTTTGAGCCTTTTCGTAATTAGCTGCTGTAAATGGAAAGCTATTTACTACTTCGAATGCACGCGAGTCTTTTACTGTGGACTGTACTGAAATTTATCTTCTCTTGTTAGCGCTGTATCTTTGTGAATCTTTTTAAATGAGCTCCAAAACGGAAACCAATTTTTAATTTCTCCGCCAAATTTCCTCAGTTCAATTTTCGATAATTTTAACGCACGTATACTTTCCTGTGTAGTTGCGTTTACATGGAACGATCGTTGAAGTGCAACTGCAACCGGTAGATTATGCGTACTTTACGGTTCCGTTAAAAGAGTCAACTCGATTTTCGTTTGATGATACTTCGCTGCGTACTCGTCTGTATGTTCTATTTCCTTACACATAACATCTTCTGATCCAGCTTCGATCATCAGATTTCGTAATTTCTGGCTCAAGTCATTAAGCTCGCTGGCTTTGTCTCAAAGAAGCGCGAAGGAAATTTGCAGTAAGGTTATATCGGGCGATTCTCTTTCCTTCTCAATCTGGAAAGAACCGTATGCTCTAGTAAAAGGCTAATGGCGAACTCTCGCCGTAACTCTCGTGTCTCCTTCGTGTACGCCTAACGTTATCTATATCCTTCCTGTTGGCGCACACGCAACACCCATCTCCCATTATCTTCTCTTTTTTTATCCTCTATTAGTCTTTTATATGATAGCTTCTTCTTTCTATACACTTGCTCGCTCCCCTCCCCCTTTTTTCATCTCAATTCCCTCCTAACCTTTCTTTTTTTCTCTTCACTCTTTATCCCACCAACCTCTCCTTACCTTTTCCTCTTCCTTTTTACTACCTCTTTCGAGAATTTTTCCCACCTGTCATTTCATTCCTTCCCAAACCTCTTTCACTTTACCGTTTCCTATTTTTATTTCTCCCAAGGCTTTTCTAAATTCCTCTTTATCTTCCTCATTCCAAACCCATTTCATTTTCTTTCCACCCCCCCCTTTTTTTCGTCCTCCTTATTCCTTCTTATCCACCTCACTAATGGTCTAAGTCCACACAGTCTTCCATTTTCATCTTTTCTACTTTCTCTCTCGTCTCTATGCTTTCCATCACATAATCTATAACTGACTCCTCCCCGGAGATGCCAGGAAAACCTTTACCAGCCACTGGCTGCAAGTGGAGGAAGTAGGCTGGCAACCGCGATGGCTTAAGTTGTTGGCTGCTGGCGGCTGCAGCCTACCCTCTCCACTTGCAGCCAGTGGCTGTTAAAGATTTTCCTGGCATCCCTGCTCCTCCCTCTCCCCGGTGTATGTCCAATCGCCGTTTCGACTCCTTCCACATTGCCGTTGAATATCGCCCATCCCACCTCCTCCATACTCCGCAACAGTACCCTTCCCTTTTTATTTATTTTCTTGTCTCTTGATTTTCTTCCGCTCTCTTCCCCTTCCCAATCCTGCTTCCCCACTCCCCCTCCCTCCTCACCCCTTCTAGTGTTGAAATCCCCTTCTATTGAGGTTCTTATCCCTTCCTCTCTTTCTTCCATCCATCTTCTTACCGCTTCCAACTTCTTATCCAAATCTCCATTAATATATACCCCTACCATTCGCCACCTTTCCCTATTCAATTCCACCTCAGCCACCATTATCCCTTCCTCCCCTTCTGCGTCCGTCTCTTCCATTTTAATCTCCGTTCTCACTTCCCCTCATCGCTCTTTCCTTTTTATTCCTCCTCTTTGCCAGCTGTACCCTCCGTCTATATCCCCTCGGCAAAAACTCCCTGCCTTTTTTCCGTCCTCTTTCGTCCTACCATGTCTCACTCATTATAATTATATCTCATTTCCTTATCTCTTCCCAAAAATTCCTCCCCTTGTTGGTTAGTCCCGCCACATTTCAAAAAGCCACCCTATTGCTTTTACTCCCCTCTCCCTCCACCAAGCTTCGCTCATCCCTTTCCCTTTTCCCCTCTCTCTCCCCCTCTCTCTCATACTCCCCCATCTCTCCTCTCCCTTCATTTTCTACCCTTCCCCTTTTCCCTCCTCTACCCCCTGCTTCTGTCTTCTTTCCGTTTTTACATTTTTCCAGCCCCTCCCCTTTGCGTCCCTCAATTCATTTCTTTCCTCATCCCACCTCCACCATACTCCAGTCTATCCACATTCCTCCTTGCTCCGCCTTTACCCTTCTTCCTTTCATCCCTTCTTTCCTCGCCACTTGCCTAATACACCACCTTATTCTTTTTTCCTCCCACGTTAAATTCTTCTCTATCCACCAATTCTTACCTTTCAGCCTCCATTTATTTAATAATATATTTCTTTTCATATCTTCACTCCCCACCCTTATTACTACCATATCTCCCTTTCCTCTTCTTTCTACATCTATTTTCCTTATATCCTCTATTTTAACCTCCACTCTCAATCCCCTCAGTATTTCTTCTACTCTCTCTTTCGAACTTCCTTTTCCTCCTATCCTTTTTCTCTTATTCTCTCTTTCTTTTCTTTCCCATCTCTTTTCTAACTGCCTGACTTTTTTCATCCATTCTTCCGGTTCCGCTCCCATAATCCTTTCACTCATCCCTCTCTCTCCTTGTGCTCTTCCTATATCCTTCTCTCCCCCTCCCTTCTCTATCTTCAGCCCTTTCAACTCTCTTTTTATTCTCTCTATCTTCTCTCTAAATTCCTCTCTCTCCCTATTCCATTTCTCTTCTCTAACTCTCAATTCTTCCTTCATTTTCTCTTTTTTCTCACCACCTCCTTCTGTCCTTCCGCCACCCTTTCTATTTCCTCTCTCACGTCTCTTATCTCCTACTTCATCTCCTCTTTCCATCCCCACAATAATTCCCCCTTCCCCTCTTCTCCTCCTGGCGATCTCATCGTTTTGTTACTTCTCTTAAAAGCTCCTTCTGCCCCCTCCCCCTCCAACGAGTCTCTTCCTGTTTGCTACCTTTTCCTCTTTGCTTCCTCAATATTTCCCATACTGTTTCTTCTTCCCCTCCATCTTCCCTAACCAGTTGTCCATCATGCTGCCGCCTGCTGCCATTTCACGACTGTCGCGCCGCTATCCTCCTGCCTGTCACCCCTCTATATCTTGCCTATTCCGCGACTACTCCCTTTCCTTCACACCTGCTCACTCCTTCTACACTCTACTCTCTCTACACTCTAACCTCATTCTTACCTCCCCTATTTCCCTTCCTTCCCTACTCTTATCCCTTCCGTACTACTCTCCCTTCACCTGTATGCTCTGCCCGCACTCCATCCTTCACTCTCTCACTCGCACTCTCTCTCCACCTCACTCAGCCCTCCACTATCACACTTTACTCTCACTCGCAAAACTTCGCTATCTCACCGATACTCAACCGGAAACGGAGGTCCCCTTTTCATTTTCTAGTTCTAAGAATTAGAAAAAGATAAAGAGTAAGTTAAACCGAAAATTTTAAAGTTAATCTACATTGGTAGAAACGGCATAAAACGCTCTATACAGTAGGAGCATATGAAAATATCTTGCTTCAGCATAGCTGTTTGAAAATAGGGAATCCAAGAATATGGCTTCTTTTAAAATTAAATCCTATAGATCCATTGTGCTCTAAAATTCTTCAACATATTCATAAAAGCGACATAATAGCATTATAATAAATAAACTACAAAATACAAGTAAAGATAATCTTACTTAGCATGAGTAAAACAAAACAAGATTCAACTATTGGCTGAAGAGAGTAACACTCTAAGAAGTCTAAAATTTATACAAAATAACAGGAAAAAAGAAATAGATATTATATTATTTTTATTAAAATATTATATCACTTAAATCAAAATACCATTTCTTGGTGTAAACAGTATACATAAAGATTCTCTTAGTATGTATTAATGTACACATAAAACATTCTTCGAAAGGACTACACTTAACAAAAATCTGAATTACTCTAATAATTAATAAAACGATCCTCTAAAAAAACGATACATATGAAATTATCACAGCAGATGTTATCATTTGGTATGTCTTAGTTAGATACATATACAATCCCCCCATACTTTTTTCTATAAATGTCTCAAAAAAAATTCAGAGATGAATAACTAAACTGAAAATTTACTTAATTTATCATATGCTTAAAAAAAAGTTGCTGTTTATCCCTTTGCGATTAAGTTTTTTTTTCTCGGTGCGCGCAGCGTAAGCGAGTACAGATAGTGTGCACATTAGGGTGGACCTTATTTATACTTGGTGAAAAATTTTTTCCGAATTTTTTTCACGACGCCCCCTAAAATTGTTCCATTTTGTGAGAAAAAAAATTGTGTAAAAGCTGAGTTCGATCGGATAACGGAAAGACGTGGCACAATCCTGTTAAAGTTGAAACAAATATTTTTTTTCACAAAAAATCCGGTGAAAAGAATTCTGAATAAAGATTAAATGATTTTCTTAGTAAATGTTGACCAATGATACTATTTTTA